CCCAAAACCCCAAAACCCCAAAACCCCAAAACCCCAAAACCCCAAAACCCCAAAACCCCAATCTTTAATTTCAATATTGATATTAAATTTTTAAATCGAACAACCATGGCGATCAAACTTGATGACTTCAAGCCAGACTCCTGGAAGTTCTGGGTCATTAACTTTACTATAAAAATGCTCCTAGCCTTCACCACTAGGAACATGTTTTACCCTGACGAGCACCAGCAAGGGGTAGAAATAGCGTATGATATGGTCTATGGCGGAGGTAATCTCACTTGGGAATGGGACCCAAACTACGCTCTTAGGCCAATTCTGCATCCGCTCATCTATGCAGCTGTTTTTAAACTTCTAAATTCCCTCGGACTTGACTACTCAGTGATGATAATCTATGTCCCAAACATTATTCACATCTCATTATGGCTCATTGGGGATTATTACATGCTTAAAGTTTGCCAAAAATTGTATGGCTCACAAGTTGCAAAGATCATGATCTTTCTGAACATGACTTCTTGGTACTCCGGAACCTTGATGCCTCGAACTTTTTCAAACACAATCGAAGCGTCCTTGCTACCAATGGCTCTTTATTTCTGGCTGAAAATAGATGGGAAAAATAACAAAATAATTGATCAAGATGCTATATACCTGACAGTGATAATTTGAATATCATTTATCCTTCGAAATACGAGCATTGTACCGTGGCTACCAGCAATGATGTGGAAAGTATTTTACCACAAGACATTCCAAAAGTTTCTATTTTGAGGGCTGTTCATAGCTATCCCAACCTTGGCTGGTTCGTGTCTGCTAGATAGCTGGTATTACGGAAAATACACATTGACAGCGTACAATTTCCTTGAGTTTAATGTACTGTCAGGGAAATCCTCTTATTTTGAGACAAATTCAAGCTTGAACTATATCTTGTCATATCCTTTAACACAAACACTAACTTGATATCCCCTTTTGTGCTTTGGAATGTGGTGTAATTTTAAGATTCATCGGTCAAACAAAACTTTCCCATTGTTGCTCAGTATTTTTACTAGTTATACAATTGTTTTGAGCCTCATCGGTCATAAAGAAAGCAGGTTCATGCTTCCATTATTTTACATAACTTGTACATTTATAGCTCTTGGTATCCAGAATTTACTAGCTGTGAAATCTGAACGTCTGAAGGTGATAATCATAGGCTTAAAAGCATGTATAATCATTCTCATATTCTGTTCACTATTCGCTTGGCTGCACTTGAACCAATACATAAATTTAGCTTACAAGGCAAATTCATTTACCACAGCATTTGTGTCAAACCAGATGTCTTCGAAAACGCTCTGAGATTTACATCAAAAGGAAGCCCCAAGCTCTGAGAGAATAAGAATTCTCCCCTGGCATCCTACTTTCTACACTCCTAGCTCACCACAAGCTTACAGCCTCGGCTACCTCGACAAGACAGGGAGGGATCTTCAAGAGAAATACATGTCGATGTTACTTCAACAGGATATCTGGAACTTCACAGATCAGAATCTACCAGAGTATCTCTCTCTAGTCTCATCAGCTAACCCAATAACTATGAAGAAGACCCACAAAACAATAATGAACATGTCTACACAAGTTGGCTCAGTTAGGTACCACTACAAGCCTGTTGACAAATATTTTGTAGGTATTGATGACAGGAGACCTCTCGAGTAAGCTTAAATAATTTTACCCCAAAATAGAGGCCCAAAGGCACTTGTCATTGAGTACCTGGTAGTATACCGCCTTATTCAGGATCAATAGCCTAACCGTCAAAAATTAAACCAGGATTTCAAAAATTGAACAGACTCCAGGGGTTTTGGGGTTTTGGGGTTTTGGGGTTTTGGGG